ACACTTAAAGAATAGAACATATGATTTAATATGAGATGTATATTATGCAATTTTTACCATAATCTTATAAACAAATAAATAACCTCAAATGATTTCTAATTAGATTGCAGGGTTTTTTAACACTTAGACTACTCTTTTATGGAGCATCCAAATACAATTGTCAAATATTAACAGACACAAAAGAAAAACAGATAACAATACAACAGTAGCAGTCATGTTAATATCCCTTTTTAATAATAAGTGGAATTTCCAGAAGAAAATAAGAAAAAAATTGATTTTTGAATCATACTCTAGAGAAGATAGACCTAAAAGATACAGAGAAAATATTTCATTCAAAAGTAGCAAGATACACTTTCTTTTCAAATGGACACAGAACAGTCTTTAAGGGAAAAATATCACAGGACACCAAAAAGTCCTGGTAAATTTAACAACATTGAAATCAGAACAAATATATTCTTTTCTGATAAAAATTTCATGAAATTAAAAATCAGAAAAAAATGAGGAAAAATGAAAAATTCAGAAATATGTGGAAGTAAAACAATACACTCCTGAACAATTGATTAAATGAAGAAATCAAAGAAAAGGAAAAACAAATATTTTAAAACAAATAAAAATGAAGGGAAAAAACACATCACAACTTATGCAATGCAGCAAAAGCAGTTCTTTGTGAAATTTATACAGACAAATGACTCCATTAAAAAAAAAGAAAGACCTCAAATATGTGACCGAATTTGATATCTCAAAGAAATAGAAGAAGAAAAAAAGCCCAGAGTTAGCAAAATGAAGAAAATAATTAAGATCAAAGTGGCAATAAATGGGGAGGAGTTAAGATACAAGAGGAGTAGGGCAAACCTAAGGTTCCCTCATCCCTTGAACACAGCTAGATAAATATTGAATCATTCTGAACACTCAATAAATCAATCATAGGACTGAGAGAACCAATAGCACATCTAGATGGAGTAAAGCATCCACGTTATGGAAGGTAGAAATCTTGGAGTGGTGATTTAGGGAACAAAAAAAATGCAGGTCCTGCTAAGGGGAGACATCCCTGATCAAAGAGAGAGGAGAGAGAGAGCAAAAGAGGGGGTCAGAGAGAGAGAGAAGATCCAAATAAATAAAATCATGAATGAAAGAGAAAGGAGCCCATCCAACAACACAGAAATACAATCGATTATAAGAGAGTATTATGAAAAATTATATGCTGATAAATTAGGCATCTGGAAGAAATAGATAAATTTCCAGAAAGATACAATCTTCCAAAACTGAATCAGGAAGAAATAGAGAATTTGAACAAGACACATAACCAGCAAATAATTTGATCAGTTATCAAAATTTTCACAATAACAGGGACAACAACAAGGACAAAAGAAAATCTCGCAACAATCAAATGTCTTAGGTATGATGACTTCAGAGAGAAATTCTACCAAACTTTATTTTTATTTTTTAACATTTATTTATTTATTCATTCATTCATTCATTCATTCATTCATTCAATTACTCATGGGAGACACAGAGAGAGAGGCAGGAAAATAAGCAGAGGGAAAGCAGGCTCCGCATGGGGAGCCAAAGTGGAACTTGATCTTAGGACCCCAGGATCATGACCCAAGCCAAGTTGGGTACTCAACCACTGAGCCACCCAGGTTTGCCAAACATTTAAAGAACACTGCATACCAATCCTTTTCAAAATGTTACCAAAAGTGGAAATGGAAAGAAAATCCAAACTCATTCTACCAGGCCAGCATTACATTGATTTCAAAACCAAACATTTAAAGAACACTGCATACCAATCCATTTCAAAACGTTACCAAACATTTAAAGAACACTGCATACCAATCCTTTACAAAATGTTACCAAAAGTGGAAATGGAAAGAAAATCCAAACTCATTCTACCAGGCCAGCATTACATTGATTTCAAAACCAAACACCCCACTAAGAAGGAGAAATATAGTCTAAAATCCTGATTAATATGGATTCAAAAATTCTCAAAAAACTTCTAGAAAATTGATTCCAACAGTGCATTAAAAATTATCGTCTTTGATCAAGGGGGATTTATTCCTGGGCTCTAGGATTTGTTCAATATTTGACAATCAATTGATATAATACAACACATTACTAAAAGAAAGGGTAAGAACCATATTATCCTATCAGGAGATTCATAAAAAGTATTTGACAAAATACAGCAACCATTCTTGATAAAAACCACCACAGAGTAGGTATAGAAGGAACATATCTCAAAATAATACAGGGCATATATGAAAGAACCACAATTGAATTCATCCCACCGAGGAAAAACAAAGAGCTTTTCCACTATAAAAAAAAAAAAAGAAAGAAAGAAAAGAGTCTCCACTCTCACCATTACAATTTAACATAGCCCTGGAAGTATTAGCCTCATGACTCAGAACACAAGAAGAAAGAAAGGCATCCACATCCCCAAGGACTAAGTCAAAGTCCCCTACTTGCAGATGACATGATATTCTATGTAGACAACCTGAAAGACACTACCAATAATTTGCTAGAACTAATACATGAGTTCATTAAAGTTGCAAACTATGAAATCAGTGTACAGAAATCTGTTGTCTTCCTATACAACAGTAAAGAGGCAGCAGAAAAATAAGTAAATGTATTGGGATCCCTGGGTGGCACAGCGGTTTAGCGCCTGCCTTTGGCCCAGGGCGTGATCCTGGAGACGCGGGATCGAATCCCACGTCGGGCTCCCGGTGCATGGGGCCTGCTTCTCCCTCTGCCTATGTCTCTGTCTCTGCCTCTCTCTCTGTGTGACTATCATAAATAAATAAAGTTTTTTTAAAAAATAAGTAAATGTATTGATCCCATTTGCAATTGCACCCCAAACAATAAGATACATGGGAATAAATCTAACTAAAGAAGTAAAATATCTGTACTGAAAAAAAGATAGAACTGTTATGAAGGTAATTGTAGAGGCACAATGAAATAGAAAGACATTCCATGCACAAGGATTTGAAGAACAAACATTGATAAAACGTCTACACTACCCAAAGTAATGTACAGATTTAATGCAATCTCTATCAAAACACCACCAGCATTTTTCACAGAGCTAGGACAAACAGTTCTATAATTTTCATGGAATCAGAAAATACTACAAATAGCCAAAGCAATCCTAAAAATGAAAAGCAAAGCTGGAGGCTTTGATCCAATTCTTGATCAAGCTATATTAGAAAGCTATAGTCAAACCAGTATGGTCCCATCACAAAAGCAAACAAACACATAGATCATTGGAGCGGAATAGAGAACTCAGACATGGACCTTCAACTCTACACAAACTAATCTCCAACAAAACAGGAAAGAATATCCAACACAGAAAAGACACTCTCCTCAAACAATTATGTTGAGAAAACTGGATATCAATATGCAGAAAAATGAAATTAAACCACTTTCTTACACCAGATACAAAAATAAATTCACAATGGATGAGAGAGCTAAATGTGATTTTCAAAAACTTAGAGATGAACATGGAAGTGAACTGTTTGACCTGGGCCATAGCAATATCTTACTAGACACATCTTCAGAAGCAAACAAAACAAAAGCAGAAATGAACTATTGGGACCTTCTCAAGATTAAAAAAAAGCTTATTTTTTGAAAACATTATTTATTTATATGACAGAGAGAGAGAGAGAGAGAGAGAGAGACAGAGCATAAGCAGGAGGAGTAGCAGGCAGAGGGAGAGGGAGAAGTACACTCTCTGCTGAGCAGAGAGCCTGATACAAGGCTTGATCCTAGGACACCATGATCAAGACCTAAACCAAAACCAGGTACTTAACTGACTGAGCCACCCAGGTGCCCCAAAAAAGCTTCTTCACAGTGAAGGAAAAAATCAACAGAACTAAAAGACAGCTAACAGAATGAAAGAATATACTTGCAAATGGCCTATTTGATAAATGGTTGATATCAAAAACCTATAAAGAATTTACCAAACTCAACACCAAAAATCCCACAAAAAATATAGTCAATAAATGGGCAAAAGACATGACTAGACATTATTCCCAAAAGGATATACATAGATCCAAAAGACACATGAAAAGATGCACACCATCACTCATAATCATAGAAATACAAATGAAAACTTCAATGAATTATCCCCTCACGACTATAAGAAGGACTAAAATTAACAACAGAGGAAACAATAGATTTTGGTGAGCATGGGGAGAAAGGGGAACTCTTACACTGTTGGTGGGAATGCAAGCTGATGAAGCCAGTAAGGAAAATAGAATAAAGTTTCCTCAGAAAGTTAAAAATACTGCCCTAGAACCCAGCAATAACACTACTCAGTATTTACCCAATTTTACAGAAATACTGATTCAAAGAGATACAAATCAATGTTCATAGCAGTATTATCAGCAATATGCAAATCATGGAATCAGCTCAAATGTCCATCAACTGATGAATTGATAAAAAGAGGTGGAATAATGTTCAGCAATAAAAAGGATGAAATATCAAAATATCGCTATTTAATGACTTGGATGACCTAGAGAGTATTATGCAAAGGAAAATAGGTCAGAGAAAGACAAATACGATATGATTTCAATCATAAGTGGAATTTAAAACAAAATCAGGGGAAAAAAAGAGCAAAGCCAGGAAACAGATATTTAAGTATATAAAACAACCTGAGGGTAATTGGATGGGAGGTTGTGGGGGGCAAAGTGGGTTAACTAGGTGATGAGGCTTGAGGAGTGTGCTTGTAATGAGCATGGAACGTTCTATATAAGTTTTGAATCACTGAATACTACACTGGACACTAATATTACATGGCATGTTAACAAACTGGGATTTAAATAAAATCTTGAAAAAATAAACAATTTTTAAATACAATAAATACACGAAAAATGGTAAATATAGAGTGGTGCCTGCATTTCAAAGAAAAATGTTAACAGTTAACAGATATAATGCATATATAGCTATTCTTTCAGAAATCTCACACAGTCAGTATTGTAAGAGCTTGAAATTTAGTGCAAACAAATGTACTTTTACTCATGATTTATGGTAGCACATTGACTCATACACTTTCTCAGGGCTCCTTTGACTTCACTGTTTCTAAGACTGTAGATAATGGGGTTCAGCACCGGGGTGAAGATAGTATAGAAGGCTGACACCACTTTATCGTGGTTAGCTGACGTGTAGGATTTGGGTCTCAGGTAAATAAAAATAGCTGCTCCATAAAAGAGTCCCACCACAGTCAGATGTGAGGAGCAGGTGGCAAAAGCCTTCTTGCGGGCTTCTCTAGAACGCATCTGGAGAACCACAGCAAGGATGAGACTGTAGGAAATCAGAATGAGAGAAAATGGAACCAGCAACATTAATACACAGCAGATATACATGACATACTCAAAAACAAACGTGTCAGCACAAGCCAAACGCACCAGAGTGGGGGCCTCACAGAAGAAATGATTGATCTCATGTGCATCACAGAATGGAAAACTCAGGGTGGCAGCAGCCTGCATGAGCCCATCAGCTGCCCCCAAGAACCAGGACCCCATGGTCATTCTCAGGCATAATTGCCAGCTCATGAGAATGGGGTACCTCAGTGGGTGGCAAACAGCCACATAGCGGTCATAGGACATGGCTGCTAAGAGGAAGCACTCGCCCCCTGCCAAAGTAAGGAAGAAAAATATCTGCAACCCACAGCCAGCCGGGGAGATGGACTTCTTGCCACTCAAGTAGTCAGCTGCCATTTTGGGCACAATGGTGGAGATCAGCATCATGTCCATGAGGGAGAGTTGACTCAGTAGGAAGTACATGGGTGTGTGGAGATGGACATCCTGATGAATCAGGAGAATCATGAGGGCATTGCCCACCAGGGAGCTGAAAGCAATCGTCAGAACCATCACAAAGAGAAACAGGTGGGCTTCTGTGTAGTTGAAGAGTCCCAGGAGAATGAAATCTGAGGTGGAGTTCCCAATTTTCATGATTTCATAAAGGAGTACCACTGCAAATGAAGAAATAGTTGACAGAGTTTTCATCATTTTCAATGCTCTATTCAGTTATATTTTTCATGACAAAAATTGTGTTGAAATGTTCATACCAGGACACCTGAGTGACTCAGTGGTTGAACATCTGCCTTTGGCTCAGGGAGTTATCTGGATTCCAGAGACTGAATCCTGAATGAGGCTTCCTGCAGGGAGCCTGCTTCCTCCTCTACTGATATCTCTGCTTCTCTCTTTCTCTGTCTTTCATGAATAAATAAGTAAAATCTTTAAAAAAATTGAAACCTATTCCTAATACTTCATCAGAGATATGCAAGATCTTTTTTACTTGGGCACAAAATTAATTCCACTTTTAAAAAAAATTTCACAAGAAACACTTCTAAGATTTTTATTTGCTTAATTGGAATCATGAATAAAGTTTCTTGATAAATTTAATGTAAGTTTTCAGCACATCTTATGCTACTTGATATCAACATAATGAAATGAAATATTCACTTTGTCATTTTCCTTAGTGTGCTTTTATCATACATAGTCAACATTCTTAGCAGCTGAATTAAACCAATGTGATCAGCATTATAAATGTTAGATGCTTATTAATGAGGGCTATGCATCTAACATATCATAAGTTTTTGAAAACACTAAAATTGGATCATTTTCTTGATATTAAATAATTTGAGAAGGCATTTTACTTTCCAAAAAGGTAACTAATATTCTCAGATGCTGAGAATAGATAGAAAAAATTACTTAATTTGGAAAATTTAATGTGTTTAGTTTGATTTTATCAAGTTATGAAAAGAATATAGTAAATTCCTTATTAGGATATGTTCCCCAAAGAAAGACTATGATACTACATGCAATATTTCATAAACTATATAAAGGGATTTTGTATAATGATTTTGTTTCTCCTGAAAGTCACAGGTACATGATCTTTTCAGGGAAAATGAAAATATAAAATTTATTAGTAACCAATACAGAGATAAATTCATTTTCTTAGGGCTTCCTGGGTGGCTCAGTGGTTTAGCGCCACCTTCAGCCCAGGGTGTGATCCTGGAGACCCGGAATCGAGTCCCACATCGGGCTCCCTGCATGGAGCCTGCTTCTCCCTCTGCCTGTGTCTCTGCCCCTCACTCTCTGTGTATCTCTCATGAATAAATAAATAAAATATTTTTTAAAAAAATCATTTTCTTATTTCCTAAGACAATCTATATCTCCACAGGCATTTTCATTCCTGATCTGAAAGTCCTGAAATTGTTCTAGAATGATGAATAAATAGGATCATAGTTGAGGAGATGAAGATGTTAATTCAATCTCAGAGATACATTCCAAATTAATAATGAAAGGGCCTGGAAGGATTCCATCTCTTTTATGGTCAATTAGTTTGTCTGCATTTTCCATATGCCTCCAGTACTAGAATGCCAATCAAGACATAGAAAGTGAAAAAGGCTCACTCAATCCCTAAATCCATTGCTTCAGAATCATTAGTGTTCTGACAGCATTCTACATCAGGGTTGGTTGTTTCAAAGTTAAACATTCTAAATGGAAGCACACTTCCTCCTCACTACATTTCCCAAACCATTATTATCTGCACACCCTCATATTAGTAACGCTTGGACCCTGCACACCTAGTAACTCTATGGACTCTCTAATTATGGATCTCTCTATTGCTTTCTTGAAAAATTAAAACCCTTCTAGCTCTTTTCTGTGACTTAAAGCTTTCTTATTTCCACTATTCTAAACTTTCTCATTTTTGAAAAATGTTAAAACATAAAACTAGGGTACACCTGGGTGGCTCAGCAGTTGAGCATCTGCCTTTGGCTCAGGATATGAGCCCTGGGTCTGGGACCCAGTCCACATTGGGCTCCCTGGGAGGAGCCTGCTTCTCCTCTGCCTGTATTTCTCTCTCTCTCTCTCTCTCTCTCTCTCTCTCTCTCTCCATATCTCATGAATAAATAAATGAAATCTTTAAAAAAAAACATAAACCTAGCTTAAAGTCAATCTGTAATTTAATAACTGCAGATTGTTGGGCAAGTTTCTTAATATAACTTTTGCTATAATCTTACCTGTCTTTAAATGTATGTCACTATAGTGTCATTATGTATACTTACATTATTCTGCAACCATGACAAATATATAACTCCAGGACTCTATAACAGAAACTCTAGACCCATTAAGCAATGATTTCCTGTTTCACCGTGTCCCTAGGAACTGGCAACCACCATTCTGCTACTCTAGCTCTAAAAATTTGACCATCTAGAGGATCCTGAGATTAGTGGGCTTCCACAGAATTTGTCTTCTTGTGATTGGCTTGTTTGACAACATCATGTCCTCAAAAGTCTTTCATGTGGTATCATGTGTTATAATTTCCTTCTGTTTTAAGGAGAATAATATTCCTTTACATGTACATACAATATTGCCTTTATTAACTCAATCTATCTATGGATATTTGAGCTGCTTCCATTCACTTCAATTCTCTATTTAATGTTAAATTTAATGAAATCCTTGGTATTTAAAAAAATCAATATGAACAAATATATCTAATAATAGAGCTATATTTTTTTTTACTTTTTGACACACATGCAAGAAAATTTAATTTAGGGAGTGTACTTTTTCTTATTTTTTTGTAGTTTCTAATTTTGTGTTTCTTTTGAATATGGAAATATTAGTGTTTAACTTTTGAATGGAGTTAGGTATGTACCTATGAATTAGCTTAAGTTTTATTATATGTATAAAAAATCATCATTATATATCTTTTTTCACTTTATTTTATTTTTTTGTTTATATATTTATTTTTTATTGGTGTTCAATTTGCCAACATATAGGATAATATCTAATTGTCTATTCAACATGATATTTGTTTATGATATTTTCTGATACCAGAAATCAACTAAAGGCATCATTTAATTAAAATCAATGTCAGGGAATCATATTTTTCCAAGAAATAATAATGTTAAATTATGTGTTAAATTAGAATTCTTAACTATTATTTCAGTATTATACTAGTTAAAATATTTATAAATCTAATGAAATATGATTCTACAGGATATCTCCTAACTAATAACTATGTATATATAGTGATTGAAAATCCAGATGATAAATTAATTTATCCTATAAATAAAATATCTAAAATGTCATTAATTGGAAGAGAGAAAGGTATAAACTGACTTGTGTAGGAATTGCAAAAAGTAGTAGTCTGATTTTTTTTCCCTCTCTGGTGTAAAACAGCTATCATTTCTTGTTTTTTTAGTCCTTTACTACCAATGACAATGAAATTTTGTGTCTTTAATTATAAGATATTTTTTATTCTAATAGAAAATATATATATATATACATATTCCTTTGTTTTCTCAGTATAATAACAGTAAAGTTGAGCACACTGATAATATTGCTTCCATATTTTTCTGATCCCCATTGCCCAAACCTAATCTAAAAACTGTAATATTTTCCCCTCAGAATATTGGGATGACAAATCAGTCAATAGGTTCTGTTAATAAGGTAATAACAGCTAAATCATTTATGTGACCAAATTGAAAAGCTACTGCATGGATTTTCATGATGATTGCATTGTCTAGCATACCTTTTAGTTTTTCAAATTGTAAGATAAAACAATAATTTTATTTGTAAAACTATGTAGACAAAGTCATGTAACTTTGGATTTCTAGAGTTCAAAACTGATAAATTATTAAACATTAGAGATGACTATGACCTACTCACATAGATAAAGATGATGACTTCAACAAGATGCATCTGTATCCCCTCTGAACAAGGTTATTCTAAAATATATCTCAGGAGGAGGAAGGATTTTATATAGTCTGGTAGCATCAAACTTAGACCAGTGTCTACACTTCAGGGGTGTGTCCTATTGACACCTTTTGCTAAAAATGCTACCTTATTAGTATAGCAGACCTGCATCAATTTGAATCTTTACATGAAAAAACAAAGTTTAATTTTCAAATATTTAAAGGATTTCCAGATACCTACATCCTTTCAGAAAGCTGTGATTCACTAAAATTAAAATAAGAGAGGGACACTTGGTTGACCTAATCAGTTAAGGCTTGGACTCTTGGTTTTAGATCAGATCATAATCTCAGGACCATGGGATCAAGCCCCACATCTCATTCTCCAATCAATGTGGGGTCTTCTAAGATTATGTCTCCCTCTTCCTCTGTCCCTCTCCTTGCTTGCTCTTTCTCTTTTCCTCTATCTCTCTCTCAAAAAAATAAATATTAAATTAAGATACATCCACAAGCAAAAGTAAAATGTAAATAAGTGTCTATGAAAAGTAATGATTTAAAAAATATTCAAATGAATGAATTAATGTGATACTTGATCTACTTTGAAAACTTTGATGGTGGTTACTGAGTGCATTATTGAGGGATTAACTTTTGTCAAATTAACTTTTGTCATTATTTGGTTATAATTAAAATGATGAAGCTCATGGTAAAATAACTATTTTTCCTAGTTAAATTTAATTTGATCATTGTGTTAGCTTGTATATTTACAATTTCATTTTTTATTGTATTTGTAGGTAAGTTGTAAAATCTAGGATCACATCAAGAGAGCAGAATGCATTTATTGCATCAAATACTTTCCATTTTTTTTAACATGGCTTATTTTTAAAGATTTTTATTGTTAGTACTACATATCTTCAGTTTCTAAGAAAACCTTGGTTGTTGGCTACACTTTTACCTCATCATTTGCCATGGTTGACCTAAGACTACATATAACAATTAAGATAAGGATTAAGGAGAACATTTTTTTGTGATGAGGACCAGATGTTGTACAGAAGTGTTGAATCACTGAAACTAATATTATACTGTACATTAATTTACTGGAATTTAAATAAGAACTTTAAGAAATTATATATATATAATATATATATAATATAATCACTATATATATAAAACATTCCATAATTGTAAAATTGAAAGAGAATCTCATTATATAGTTGATAGGAAATTCTGCCTAAGTACCAATGTGAGATAATAATTGCTTAATTCATGTGAGATGTAAGCTGTCATTTATTTGACTAGGAGGGAAGC